GGAGTTAGGAGGTTTTTGTGAATGACCTCAGCCATAAACGAGGGGTCCTGACATCTCTTGACGAGGCCGTAAGTTCTCTCAGAGGAGCGCGAGTGGTGGTGAAGTTGAAACAGAAGGCCCGAGGGAGCCTCTGACAAGCAGCCTGCAGCCCTGGCTGTTCCTGGAGGCCCCCTGCTAGCGGGGGGGGGCGGGGGGGGTGCAGGACCGCTGACTCTTGACCTCCCGCCTGAATATCAAGGAGGCAAGTGATGTGATTGGTTTGTGAAGCCACCGAGATTAATCTGGAGGAGGGACTTAGAAATGGGATGGCGGTAGGGTACAGTAGGAAGTTGAGCCTGGACAGAGATTAATTAGGACGTGATTAAACAAATAAAGATGTTTTTGAATGGTGAGAACTAAGATGGTAGCATTGGAGATGGGAAGAAGAAATAGGAAAGTTTCCAGAGATTTTTAAGGCATTTAATTTTATGTCTAAGTCTTGGCCAACGAGAGATTTGCAGAGTCTCTTAGAATTTACTCGTTAAATTGTAGATAGCTTACCAGTGAACTGAAATCGTTCACAAACTACCAGGCAGCCGTCCTTTCTGTCTGTGTCTTATTGTTTGGGTGTGTGATGCAGACACCCAGACTTTCTGACACATGTCAGAGGACATCCTCCTAATTTGCCAGCCTCACCTTGGGCCCCATTTAAAACTCTTGTAAAATGTTCCCTGATAAACACCTTGAGCTTTAATCATGGAGCCTTTTCTCCAAAGTAACAGCCATACTGTCCTGCTGAGATATCTCTGTTATATTTGCTCCAGTTTCAGCAGAACGCTGGCTCATTTTTTTCCTAAATAAATGCGGAAATATAGAGATACCAGGAGACCTGTCTGTACTCCTTGCTCAGATATTTTGCAGCCTTCGTTGCTGGTGGAAGCATCTTTTCCAGCATGATGCAGCTTGGGGCATGTGGAAGACCAAGGGGTAAAAATAGGGAAGGGAGGCAGCAGAGACGGTCATGAGACCCTCAGTGATGGGACCAGAGGAGGAAGGGCGGGCTGCCACTGCTGTACTTGAAAGCAGCATTTTGCTAAGATCTGTGGCAAAAACATCTAGTTGGACGCGATAATGCGCTGTAGAACCCCCTCGTGAGGCAAACAAACTTGGACTTTGAAGTCAGCTGTAAACACTTGGTATTGCTAGGTTGCGTTTTCTGGGAAGTCACATCAGTGGGTGTGAGTTTAGCATCCTATTTTAAAGTGTGTCGGGGTGACAACGAAACAATAGAATGAGGTGAAATACGTACATTATAACATTTGAGAACCGAAAGCATTATTCCAAAAACTGGATTCTACAGTGTAGAAACAGGAGTTTTCAACTTTTATACTTAAGATAATTTTCACATCTTAATATATACCATGTTTCTGGGTAAGTTTGATCTTTTGTGGTTTGCTGCAAAATACGTAACTCTTAAATGGTGGCCCATTGCTAGCGGTAATCCCAACATCCAGACTTCTGAGGCAACACTGGGATATCGTAAATCTCTGTTTTATAATCAGCCTATTGTTGAGGCCGTTAGAAGCTTGAATTTTTTAATGCGTTTAATAGCATTGACTAGTTTGCTTCAGCCTTAACAATTAATGGTATATGTTATAGAAACCCTGACTGTCGGCCAGACAGAATTACTCTAAGTCAACTTTATTCTTCTGCCAGAAGAAAATTACGCAGAAGACTTTCTAATGAAAGAAAGTTTTCTCATTTAAGTAAGAAGTGTCTTGGGTGTTTAGGGTAACTTTCGGTCCACATGTCTAAGTAGGTCATGCTGGTTGCTCCCAAACTTACATGTACTTCTGGAAACACATGCTATATTAATTATGAAGAGAAAAGGAAGCATTTGCTGTAGAGACAACAGTTAAATTCAGTTTTGTAATTGACAGACTGCGCCGGTGACTAGGGCCCTCCGGGGGCTGTTTCCGCTTCGTGAGGTTTCTCAGAGCCTCACTTCTATGTGGCCTGGCACTAGAAGGCTTTGTTCCTGCAGAGAGAAAAAATATATATAACTTATAACAAGTTTTTCCTTATTTTTTAATAAGATAAGTGATAGTACATCGTTTTAAATTTTTTAACATTTGTTAGTTTTGTCTTAAATGCAACCCGAGTTGAATTTCCTCCTTTGGCCTCTGGGTGGCACTCTTGTCTGCGGGACGCACCGCCGCTAAGCCTTGGCGCCACTGGGAGGCCCGGCCTGCGAGCACGGAGGTGTGGCCTGGCCGTCTTTCAGATGGTTTCCTCAATCTGAGAGCCGCAAAATCATGTCAGTGGTGACTTATCAAGTGTTCAATCTGAAATAAGATCGAAGATGGTAAAAACTTTTTTCCAAACATTAAGGGTGCTTGTAGTACTTAAAAAATACCTGTAAAACGGGTGTGTCACAGATTACAGTACAATCATATAAAATCAGTTTCATCTAATCTAATAGCAAACTATTGAAACAAACGCAGTCATTTCTGTATTTTAAAAAGTTGTAATTAATAACGTGCACCCAACAGCCAGCATTCAAAACGTAGCACATTCCAAACCAGCTGTTTGGACCAGTTTTAGTTACTCTGACAACAATTTAACAGCTAAATTAGCGCCCTTATCAACTGCACGTGTCCCGTGTACGTGTACAGTAGGGGTTATGGTTTATTAGAATGACTGAGAAAATGATTTGAAATAGCTTCATTTTTCCTTGACTATGAATTTTTAACAAATTGATTCTGTGACTGATTTAGAAAATAATTAGGGTCACAAAAACCTTGAAAATAACTACAGATTATGAATAAAATTCGGGGTGACTTGGGGGACTCCCCAGCCTGCCTGTGAAGGGGCCTCCCTGCTGGCCTCCCTCCGCCGGGCTGCTTTGTGTCTGGGGGGTGGCGGGAGTGGTGGAGGGTCTTCATGCCCCCAGCACCCCAGTGCCAGACTCTGCTGGGGACTCCCAGATGTCCTGTTGATCCTCTGCAGTTCACGTAGAGAAATACCGCGGCCCATTGTGTCAACAGCTAAGGCTCAAAAGCTACTGAGGACTTTTGCGCAGCGCCGTACGTGACAGAGGCCGTCGGAGGTCCCCGGCGGGCCGGCTCACTCCGCAGGGTGCGCTTTCCCCTCCGCTCACGCCTGGCGCGTCGGGCAGACACACAGGCCTGTCGTGCTCCTGTCTTCTGTCCGGCCTCATGCGGGCTCTGGCCTTGGTCCTGCCCACCTCACACCCCGTGCCGGGCGCCCCCACCCCAGCCTGCGGACCCTCCCCGGCGCCTGCCCAGTTCCTCCGCGCCGTCAGCATCTCTTTCTAAAGCTGTTCCCACTGCCACTCGGTTTGTCTAAAGCTTAGGCAGCTTTTTCACCTCCGTCTTCCCCCCAAAATATTTGGACATGAAAGGAGCTATGATTTGGTTTTATTAAAAACAGTTCCTATTATTTTCATCGTTATTTAAAACATATGGAAAGATCAATATGTGTGAAATGGAAAAGGACAGTTAAGGAAAGGAATTTTATTTTACAAATATTTCTAAGTACGTATATCAAAGACTGGAGAGTTTCCTTTGCTTAAAATAAGTAAACTATTTTTTAACAATGACTTACAGATTTAATGTCTTAATGCAATTTGTCTGTTAAACACATCAAAGTTCAGTTCTCTTTTGAATGCAAAGCTGACATGAATGCAGAGTTACTGTTGCAAATTTGCATGTAGACGTACTGGGAGGCGCGGGTCTCTGGCGTTTCCCTCCCTGAAGTTGGGTTGTCGTAGTTGTGACACACCAAAAGCACGAGGCCTTGCTCGGGTGGAGAGAGACGTGGGTCCTGCCTGCGGCAGCCACCCAGCTGCCCACCTGCACCCTGACGGGGTGAGGTTGTGACGTGGTGTCACCGTGAGGGGGCCGGGCTTCAGGTCGGCCTGGGTGAGCTCCAGTCTTGGCTGCACCTCCGGTCGTGTGCCTAGGGCTCCCTTATCTGCTAAAGGCAGGTGATGGCAGCGTCTGCCTCCGAGGGCGCTGGGGACTTAGAGGAGGCAGGACACGCAGCATCCTCCACCTGGAGGCCTGGACGCGGCACCTCCGTGATGCTGAGGGGAGCGAGGAGAGGTCAGTCCCTTGATCACACTGAGCCTCACTCGCTCTCCTGATGTCTTAGAAGTTTGATTTTGTTTCCTTCCACATCTGTTTTCTTACTTTTCAAGCCCATTTTTTAACTTTATTTTTTATTTGAGGTAGGGAGGTAATTAGGTTTTTTGTTTTTTTATAACAGATACTGGGAATTGAACCCAGGACCTTGTGCGTGCTAAGCATGCACTCTACCACTGAGCTGTACCCTCCCCTTCTGTTTTCTTACTTTTGAACATGATAATTTGACTAGACGATGTACTAGGCCTTGTGGAATTTCAGAACAGGTGGAGGAATGACCACCCCCCGTGCTGGGGGTCAGACAGGGCAGGGCGTGCTCACTTGGCCTTGTGGGACTCAGGGTCGTTCCTTGCATGTCCCTGGCTGTGGCTCCCTTTCCACCCGCTCCTCGCCCCGGCCGCGTGCCTTCTGTGTGGGGCCTCGCAGCTGAG